CAGGGATCAGCTCACTAATCTGCAGAACCACGCAGGGAGACGGCATGAGGCCTACTTGGGTCATTTCTTTCGAAAAAAAAAACCTCAGAAAGAGACGGTAACGATTTAGAGTCAGAAGGAGAGAGAGATTTTGAATGCCAAAAATAGCCTCCATGTAAGAGAGAAAAACAACCCGATACCTAAGTTAGCACACAAGGTTGCTTTCAAAGCTGCCTTTTTTTGTCATGCAAAAAACTCAAATCCAGATAATAAATAAGATAATTTAGTGGATATATTTTCTAGCATACCTGCTGTTGCCAACACTCTGTCTGGCATGGTACTCCATTACATTCTCCCGAGCTTGTAGGTGTTCAGACTAAAAATATCACTTCATGGTCAATTCAGCTTTTTTAACAGCTCTAGCATTTCATTATCCCTTTAAAATAACAACATTATGTAATGTATTCACACTTGATAAAATGATCCGAGATCTGTAGTTTGGTGTCTCTATTTTACATCACTGTAAGCGTTTTAAAGTGTAATGGGCAAAATATTACAATATATATTTGTAAGCGTAGGCTTATTTTAACTGGTCTGCAGTTAATTAAATGCCTTGATCATGGATACGCATACATTTTATTTAATACCCAAAGGGTTACTCTGCTGCGTTGCATTGCCCTGCCATACAATGACGCATTTATTGTTATCATTTTAAAACAGATTGCTTTTTTTTTTTACACACAGTAGTTCTATATAGTTTTTACGTGTAGGAGGGTCACGTAGCTGCTCTTAGGGAAGAAAAAACCACCGGCTTTGTATTGTTGCATTGTGGGTGTGGTATGTACAAATTTTCCTTTCGTGTTACCAGAGCCCGGAGCAGGTGTGCAGGGTGACTCCGAACATGGGCCGTTGGCACCCAATAGCCACATCGAAAAACTAAATTTCCTCTTTTAAAGGGATGTCAAAGTTACTCAAGACATTACTCGACGGGCAGAATAATTAGTATATCAGTGTGCGTCATGCTGTCAATACTGCTTTAGGTACACTTAGAACACTATGAACTTTTCACTCCAGCTCTCTTTTTTTCATTTTTCACAAAATCACTTGTGAACACATTCAAGGAGCCACTGTCTGAGCCATTTGAAATACTAGTCATGTTCGGATTACACTTCGTACAGACTTCGGTAGTTCTTTTAAAGCCTTGAAGTTAAAAATCCACCATTTTGTTTGTATACTATCCGGATAGGGTCACGGATGGTTTTACATGTCTGATATCAACTGGTAAAACAATATGCAGCTTCTGCCCACAGCGCTTTTTCCCATTTAAACACAGAGTTGTGCATTAACGAGAGAGGGGGGAGAGGAGAGAGAGAGAGAAGGTCCCTGAAAGAGTGGATTACAGCTCTTAGATTAGATGGCATCTGGTGACCTTGGCAGCACAGAGAGCAGTCGGCCTGGTGTACGCGGTGGGTGTGAGAGAGAGGCAGAGTGAGATTATCACCACCAACAGAATATGCATCAGAGATATTGGTCCTGTATCTCTTTATGTGCACACTGTGTGTGTGTGTGTGTGTGTGTGTGTGTGTGTGTGTGTGTGTGTGCGCATAGTAGTGTGTTGGGAGGATTGTTGATCCAAATCCACTCGTGAATGTACACGCTCAACAGGCCATTAGTTCCCGTTTTGTGTATGTGCTTCTGTGTGTGTGTGTCTGTGTGCGTGTGTGCAAGTATATGAACACATCCATGTTTCCCAGTGTGTGTTGAAGTCTACGCGTGAATGAGCATGTGCATGCGGAGACATACTGGTATGCAGTTTGTGCATTCCTGGGTGCGTGAGAGTGCAATCTGAGAGTGAATAGGGGGGTTAGCGGGCCATTAACCAGTGCATTAGCCCTGTCTGCAGACAAACTGGGCTGAGGAGAGGGGCGGTGTGTGCGGAGAGCTGACGGTTTAAAGATTTCAGGAGGGAAAGGGACAATGGGGGGTCAGGATTTAGCAGCGAGGGTGAGGCGGATTGAGTGCATTAGTGAGTCCGTGTGTGTGTCGGAGGGATTGAGGGGATCTAACCCATAAAAAGCAGACAGACGCACCCTGAGCAAGAGTCAGCTGTGTCCTCTTCCTCTTATTCAGAATATACAATTTGACTGAATCGACACACCAGTGCTGAAAACACTGTAATAATTGAAAGTTGAGATGTTATTCGCCGGAGGGTATCGGCATTATTTGATGAACAAGGAGCATCGTGGCTCTGTTTCATGCTCCGAACCTCCCCAAACAAGCCACATGCCACAGTTTAAATTGTCATTTAGTTAGTAGTTTAGGAAGGATTTGTTGCATTTTTTGCAAATACAGGTTTTTACTTACTAATAAGCAAGATTATCATTCACAGCCCCAAAAAAGTCTCCAAAAAGTGACATTCCCATACAACGAAACTGCATTGTCATTTATGTTTCGAGGGAAACCTATTGTAACACATTTAAAACGTTTGATTTTGACACATCACGTATTTCAAATCATAGTCCGCAGAAGTCCACATAAGGTAGAGGTCAGGGTGGATGGTTGGGGTTGGGTCAGGACCTTCACTCGGGAGACGATTGTTCATGTCCCGTGTAACACCAACAGTCAATGTTGACTCATTTTAATTTGCGTCCGTAATTTAAATAACATAACCATACTTATTTTTCAAGCCAAATTATGACGTTTTTGCTAAACCTAGCCAAGTAGTTTTGTTGCATTTTTGTTTTGTTTCAATTGACAACGGTAACCGCGTGTTAAAAACTGCCACCGTAACCTGGGAGAAATCACGTATGGGAACGTAATTTTGTAGGAAACAGGCAAAAGTTAACACTTATATTATGACTCTTCGATAAAGCCAACTCTCATTTATCAACAAACTAATAGAAAGATAAAAAAAATAAAAAATATATAAATGAATTTGGTCCGGTAGTAAGTCTTAAATAAAGTGTAAGTTATATAGTTGTGCGTGAAAGTTATATATAGAGATATGGTCAAAAGCTCCGGAAAGAGCAAGTAGACCTTTTAGTTAGTTATTTTAATTAGTTTTAGTTAAATAATTTAGATATTTCCTCAACATCAGATTACAGTTACAAAACATTCACCATATGGGAGCGTTTATCATCAAATATTGTTTTGTTCTCCTGTTCTACGGAAATAAGAACTGATTTATTTGTTTGTTTTCTTCAAAGGATGAAATTTGCCAGATGCTTTTAAGTCATTATACAGGTGTTTGGACGTGAGGCTATGTAATTTAACACCAGCCGCTGTGGCCACAAAATCACAACAGTATAATGGTTAGAATGTAGCATAAGAAAAGCACGAGTAGAGAAGAGCCATTGAGTCAGCCAACTGACTCGGTGATGACAGTTATACAACAAAATCTAGCTAACATTAGCCACAATGTGCTGATGGTCATACCAGACCAAGTAGGGCCATACCAGCAAAATCCCTGAGTATATTGGATTGAGCAAAGTTGTGTTTTATTGCTTATAAATTCAACTTTTTATTTGTATGAGGAAGGATGTGTTATTTTTTTCTTTCAAAACTTACATAGCCCCAAGGTTATATGCTGTAATCCCCAGACCTTTAGGCAATGTATTTTTTGGGTTGTACACACCAGTTTTTGTTGCTACATACATTTTCCTCACAGCAAACCGAGGATTAATATTGGAAGAGAAGCGAGAGGGACGAGATGGAGGAAAAAGGTAGCCAGGGATAGAGAGAGAAAAGAGAAAGTGACTAGAGGCACTGACAGGGTGAAGAAAGTGAGAGCCCTCGTATATCTCCAGTTTTCTATTATTCATGAGTTACAAGAAGCAGTGGAGGGGAAGGAGGGGAAGAGATTGCAGCTTTCCATCTTACCCTTGAGTGTAGTCTTCTATAGCACCATCTGTCTCGAGCTCCTATCTTTCTCCATCTCTTTTATTTTCCCTCCAGGTCTATCACTCATTTCTCTCTCTTTCTTTGTTGTCTCTTGCAGATTTGAATTTAATGGTTTTGCATACATATCCCGGAGCCAGAGCTGCTATAGGAGGCTAAGAAAAACTGTAAGTTAACAAATGAAAACTTAACTGTCATGAGCCGAAGAACTGCAGATTCTCTGGCTCGCATAATACCGAAGCACAGCTAAAAGGCAAGTGGCAGGAGAGTCTGATTGCAGCTGTCGGCGTAGTGTGCGACGCTTTGATTGGCTCGTGGGGTACAAGAACGCCCCATTTGACTTTCTTCTCTACTTTCTTAATGCACAGCTGGTTCTGGCTGTAAGCTACTACCAATGTGGCAACCTCCAGTTCTATGTCACTCCTCCGCATTCCCAAGATGGAAACTTACGATCATTGGTTGCAAAAAAAACATGGCGACGGCTAGGGGTGCAACGGATCACAAAACTCACGGTTCGGATTGCGGTTTTTGAGTCACGGTTCGGATAATTATTTGGATCAGCAAAGAAAGGGGGAGGAGACAAATATAACTTTGCTTTCCATTTATTAATTAAAATAACTTCAAGAACACTTAAAGCAAATAACTTTGGGCTATAGTCTTACATGAAAACCACAATGTTTAAGATATTTATTTTCATAAAGATGAGAATATATCTACATTACCTGGTGAAAGGGTAGCGCCACATGTGTCTGTGTGACTCTCACAGAGGGGGCGTGTCTGAAGCACCGGACTTTAAATCTCCACTCCCCCGTGGTGAGCTGTCAGTCTTTTCCTTTTCATAGAGGACCGATCTTCATACTGAAGTGGGTGCGTGAGGGGATTTCGTAACATGGCTCATGCACTTTAACCAGATTTTGAAATCCTTTGTTTTCCAAAACGGAGTGTCCCCCATTTTTTTCCCTCAGTGAAAGAAATTTAAATTGCCAACAATATTGAAGATGTACACTAGGCAGTGATACAAGGGCCGCTCTTATCCTAGATTGCGGTTGAACATGTTGTACACTTGTTTCACTTGCACAGGTTGATACAAAACTCACACAAAAAACACACAAAAAACAACCAAGTTGTCTAAAAATCTTCTACTTTATTCAGTAAGATAAATGTTTTTTGTAAAACATTCAATAAAAAATGATCTTCAATTTATTGCTCATTGTCATCTTTACACTAGGACTTGATCTGATGCATATTTATTTTTTTCCCAAAGCACTCTCACAAGGAATATGTTGCTAGATATTTAGACAAGATTTTATGCTGTCACTATAATAGTAATAACTTGCATACATACGCACGTTCAGGTTATATAAAAACAAACCAAACAACAAAACAGAGAAGGGACAGGCGGACTCAGGAATCCTCTCACGTACTTTCGGAGCAGCATTTGTTGCTTTTCCAGCGGTGTTGTAAGAGCAAAAAAAAAAGTTTCAAACCGTTGAGTCGTGAGATCATGTTGGCAGAGGGAATAAACTTAAGCCTGACACTGGAAAAACTACAAACCTGAAGCCCAGAGCTTCACATCTTTATACCGCGGAAGCCGTTTTAAAAGCGCCCCCTACATGCATTAATCATGAAATTACAAGGCTATATTTTAACGCAAACCTAAGTATCATTCTGTCAACTAGTAAACACACATTGTAAATTAAAAAATGAAATAAAACCAAAATAAGCGAGGCGCATACTGTACATGCCAGTGAACCACAGATCCTCAAAGATGGCTCCATTCGGCATCGCCATGTTGCATATATGCTTATTGTTGATCATCTAAATTCTGTGGCCTCACTTCAGCTACAGTGATACGATTTTAACATTTGCAATTTCCTTTTTTGTTGTTCACAAAAAGTATTTTAATAAATCTAAAACACGTCAGTATGATTGGATGGAATCTTTGCTCGTCGGACATGTTTTACAGGAAGTAAGGGGTCGTTCACATGCTGCGGTTGTTGTTTTTTGGCGCCCTCGTATTCATTGTTGACAACGTAGACGTGCGGAAGGCACGCTCAAAAGCGAGAGCGAAACTGTTGCCATTTTCAGGGCGAGACGGCTGCGTCCCAAGATTAAAAATTGTTCAACTTTTGGAACCTGTAGTGCGGTGTGCATATCATGTGATGAGGAACAACCAATCACAGACGGCAGATATCTTTTTGTTTTTCCTTTCTTAAATATTTAAAAGTTACTTTCGGGCTCCCCAGAGTTTTACGATCTGTCCCATCCGTCACCCTTTCCGTCCAAGAACGTCACAACATCCGGTTGAAAGGTCAGCCCGACTGACAACCATCTACTTTGTTTAGTTCAGTCAGTGAGGCTTACTGCTAAATTACCGCATCATCATCGCCATTGCAGCGCGCAGGTTTTGGTTGCTTGGTAAGAGCAGGCTACCAACATCCCCACGCACCTCCAGATAAAAAGATGAACGCGGTACGGCTGGTTTTTCCACGTGTGAACGACCCCTATGAAGTGCAGGTCTAAGACCGACGCTAGCATGTTTGATAAAAACACAAACATTTAGAAGCATGTCATGGACCATATACTTGAGTTTAGCTTTTTTAAAGAGGAAAATTTTATATTTAAAGTTGCATGTTTTATGACCAAAGTCATCCAAGCAATGAGTAGCATTCGGGGAAATGGGTCATCTAGAAGGAAATGTATATAATGAGAGTCATTACAGTACTGAGATGATGTGAGGCTCCCCTGTCCCAAGTCATTTAGAGAATCCCATTCCTTGCCACTCTTCCCCTCATACACATTCTCAATAAGCAGCGTGTGCGTGTGTGTGTGTTTTGTTGATCTTCACTGCCTCAGGCCTGTAGGTGTGTGTGCATGTACAGTATGTGTGTGTGTGTGCTTCACAATCCACAAGGGGAGACTTATGTTTAATTTTATGCACTAAAAATATTTTAAGTTCCGCACAAAACAACACACAGTTACAGTCACCTGCACACACAGGCCAATTCTGAGGTCAGTGGTTATCATGCCACGTATTTACATTCTTGTTTTAAGGAAACTGTGTACAAGGCAGTAAGTAGATGGTGATCTGGCAAGGTTTAGTCTTTTTTTTTTTTTTCTTCCGAGAAGAGGACACAAAAACTAAAGGTGACGGAAAGGTCTCATCAAATAAATAAATAAATAAATAAAGCAAGTAAAGATCAATAAGTTAATAAGTTAAAGGGGGTCTGTCTGTACATGTGTGGAGAGAGATGGCGTGTGTGTGTGTGCACGCGCACGGTTCTGCCTGATGCCCTGTGCGAGCATGTCTCTGTGTGTTGTCCTCAGGGGGCTGTCGCTAAGGAGGAGGAGCAGTAAACTCAACCCCAACAACCCCCCAGAGACCCATAGCGCCCTTGTGCACTGACAACACGAACAGAGCTGCCGTGAAACTTTCCGACCTAATGACACCGGGGCAAAAACAACACCGGTTGATGATCAAGTCTTCGGAATGTAGATGCGATATCCGGAGTCGCATGAAATCGGACCGGACACACGATGACAACTGTTGGGAGTCGCACAACGCTGTCACACTGAGTCGTTCTTCTAAGCTCGTGCATGTTTTTTCTTCGCTTGTTTCTTGGATGGCGGCCGATCGGAACGGCCTCTGTGCCTTTTTTAAAATCTTTTTTATAGTTTAGTTTAGTTCGTCAATCACAGACTTGCGCAATCTATTGAATTTCATATTCAAATGTCCTAAAACCTTGTTTTTATGTTCATTTCGTAAGAGCAAGTGGTTGACATCTCAACGTTCCCCCGGCAGATCTACGGTCAGTCTGGCAGTGAGAATGTGACTACAGTTTATTACAACTCATCAAAAATGGAAGAAAAAAAAAAAAAAGTAAAGCTGCTATGCACACAATGAAGAGTAGGGATTGTAGAAAGCGTGTCGACTGGCAGCTGCATAAATATCATATATCATACAGAGACATGTAATAGGAGTATTGATCATCATACATCATATGCAATCGCCGTGGCAGGAATAAACTTGCAGTGGATGAGTGGCGGTCAGGGGGGAAAAAACAGTTTGGAGTGTGTGTGTCTCTGTGCCCTTGTTGGAGTGCATGTTCAGGTAAGTCGGGGGGGGGGTGGACGGACATCAGCTGTTGTACATTCAAGGTGAGAGAGGTTAGGAGGCGCTGTCCCGCCGTGGCCTGACAGGAGGGTCAGGTCCAGGGGGGTCATCTGTAGGTGCGTGTTGGTCAGAGTGGTTAAAGGTGGAAGGTTGTGGCAGTGCTGGTTGATTTCTTCTAGAGAAGGATGCACTTTCCTTTCTCCACCCACGGGTTGCTCTTCATCAGCTCTGGGTTCAGGAAGGGGTCCTCCGGGACACCGTCCTCTATCCACTTTACCAAACTTTGTGGAGAGAGAGAGAGAGAAATTTCTCAAATTCCAGAGGAAGTTTAGCACCACAATCCATCCTCTATCCACATTCTCTCTTTTTCCATACAAGGCATGAAAGAGAGAGAGAGAACATTTCAGTCCATCTAGCTTAGCCAAAATATCTCTTTGCTTCTTTCCAAGCCCTGTTGTTGTCATCGGTAACTTTAACTTAACAATAAGAGCGTATTCCTGATATGGCACGCACAGCGCAGGAAAACAAACTGCTGAATTGACGTCTTTTTTGTCAAAGAACATAAAGAGAGATTATGGTAACATTTAAAATATTTACATTGTTATCGCGTCTTTCTTGCATGTTGATATCGTCATAGTTAGTGCCGCATCGTCTCGTCTTAGTCGTGGAAAGGGCGGTCGCTGACAAACATATTTAGTCACAGTTTTCATTACCTAAATGAACACTAATACTTTGCTGCATAGATAATAGCAATCAGATGCAAAAAAGGGCAAATGGCACGCTGCAAAACTTTGTCACTGTGTTTGCGCTGTAATTTCGTAAGCGTAATATCGTTAGCGTAATATCCGTATAATTTCGTCAGTATAATTTCGTCAGTGTAATGTCGTCAGTGTAATGTCGTCAGTGTAATGTCGTTAGCGTAATGTCGTTAGCGTAATGTCGTCAGCGTAATGTCGTTAGCATAATATGGTTGGCGTAATATCGTTAGTATAATATGGTTGGCGTAATATCGTTAGCGTAATGCCGTCAGTGTAATGTCATTGCGAAACCTTGAGATGGAAATTATGCCCAATTCATGGTGCTATTTGCGGCTGCAAATCCATTCTTCGTGAATTTGCCCGTGAGTGTACTGAAATTAGCAAAAGTGTGTTTTATTGCCTCAGGAATTTAACTTCTCATTTGTAAAAAGAATTTTAAGTACTTTTAAGTGAATATATATATATATATATATATATATATATTAGATTCACAATAGTTTCAAAACACTGACCCTGAGTACTGTACATGAAAAACAGACTCAGAAGTGTTTCTTGTGAGCTCCCTTGATTGGCCCTTAATCTGCTGCCGCTGCAGTGAGAGCATGAGACGGACAAAGAGAGCGCTGAACAGAAACTAATGACGGCCGCAGCTTTGCTTAATGACTCCACGTGCGCTGCGACTGTGACAATAGCCTTCGAGGCAGCATTAGTTAATGAAGCCATATCACTGCATTATTGCTGTGGTGGAATGACTAATGCTGTTCGACTCAAAGTCATGGTGTTCATGTAATCATTGTACTCATCACAGTGAACAACAGCAGATATTGTTAGTAATCGTAATTGAATAACCCACTGAATACTTGAGCTAGCTCGGAAACAACCGCTGGTTAACCAATCTCAACTCGAGGTCCACTTAAGCATTTGTTCCGGAGCTTTCAACCATATCACACAGCCTTCTTTGGCTAGATCTCAACTAACTAAAAGAAAAACCTTGGCTTGAAAATGCTGTATTCAAGTATTCAGTTTCAAACTTGATCCACTGTGTGAGCAACATTTAAATGTGTGTGTCTAACTATAACATGTTTTTATGTGTGCTATAAATCGAGATGAAATGAAAAATGCCCTTTTAACCCTTTTTGGATCACATCCCTGGTCAAATTGTGCACCGATATAACAATATATGCAAAGATATTTAGAGATATTTTAGAGATTTAAATCCCTCTCGTAACTGTACACCGCTCAAATATTCAGTTTCACTGGGGAAATACTTCCAACACAGAAGCTCTAACTTCCGTTTCACTGGGAATCTAAAGGGACAGTGTGAAGTATTCGGCGACATCTAGCGGCGTGGTTCCATTTTGCAAAGGGTAATGTGAGCCGCTGAGTGCAATACCACGATAACGGCGTTATCTATTAATCTATTAATCTTATTCTAAGCTAACTAAAACACAAGGACTTTTAGTTTCAGAGGATTATACACTGATGAAAACTTAGTTGGAATATTAGATTCCATTTCTGCTAATAGATCCTGCTAAATGCTACACACTGGCAAAAACAAAGCTATTTCATTTCAGAGCTATTCATCACAGTGGTTTTTGGGGGATTGAACTCTGTGCAGGTGCTTGTAGAGCTATTACGGTCCAACTACTCACTCAGTCACCGTTTTGGAGGACTTCTCTCGTTTGAAGGCCAGCTGGTACTTGAGGCTCTCCACCTCCTTCTTCATCTGGGGCAGGTCCAACTCGTCCATGGCTGCAGCTCAATGTGGGGCTTTTCTACCTGTGCACAGTGGGGGAGGGACCGGTTAAATTTATGCAGCACATAATACCGTTTAACGGTAGTCAGACGCACTCCGCGCAACCGTGCCCTGCAGCGAGAACACCACGAAAAATGCATCCGATTTATAACGGCTGCTTAGCGATTCCACCTCCAGGAGGGGGAGAATGGAGGCTATTAAACGTTAAGAGTACAAACCCACTTAACACCACAGGATACAGTGGTTGTGTCCTTGGGGCTGCATGTTTCCACTTTGAGAAAAGTTCCTCAGCTTTAATGAAAATTACTAATTAAATGATGTCAGCGACCGTTTTGACGGCAGTTCGACAGCACATCAATTGTATGCAAATTTTGGTTAATTTCTTCTATATTGCCTCTGGCAGCGAATGCAGGTCAGAGGAGAGTAGTTGATATTCAATAGAGGGAGGGGAAACAGAAAATGTTTGTGCTTCTATGCCGAAAAAAGGAACAGCCTGTACTTGTGCCGCATCCCATTTCTTCTCATTTGCCCTCAATCTTACCCCATCCCATTGAGTGTGCTTTCAAAATATAGTGATGTCCCAACATAGAACTTCACTCCGTGAGATGAGTGGCTAAGCCCCCTCACATCGAGGGCAGTAGAAGGGAATAATTCAGCTTCAGGCTGCTTGTGATCCTCTATTACGGTGATTCCCAAATAGGCGTTCATGTCTGCAGTTGCCACGGGCAACATTGTGGAGTAAACAAAAAGAAAATTCACATATTGAGTTATCTGAAACACCAGATCACTGGTACTGGTGATTGAGAGTGCATGAAAGCTAGTGGGTTCTACAGTGTTCTGTACATGACACCAGCCCTTGATTGAATTTTCCCAGCAAACCTTGTGCTCCTTAAACTAACTCAAATCCGAGCCACTTAGCCAGTCCTCAGTCACCCGTTGCTGCATAGAATTAATAGCTTATTCATAGTACTCACAGCTGTCAATTTGTAAGATTACCACAGTATATTTAGGACTTCACATCACCATACACATTTGGTTGGGTTAAAGTGAAATGTATGGTGGGCCATGGCCAGTTTGCACCGCTACCTCATATGTAAAGATCAGGAAAACACATTATCATATATTTATATAGAATTAATAACTGGAATTTGTCACTCAGGACACTGCAGGCAAGAAAGCCAAACCAGTGGTCAACTCTCCGACAGCAATATTGTCTCCATTCTCATCCGCTACATCTTTTTCTTTGTCTGTTCCTCCCTCTCTTTCTCCCTCCCTCCCTCTCTCTCTCTTTCTCTCACTCCCCACCCACGCTCTATGCCCACTATACCCTCTCAACAATACTCTTTCCCTCTTGTGTGTGCACCAGTGTGTGTGCACGCCTGTGTGACTCATTTGAGGATTCGGGTGAGCCGAGCGCTTGTCTGGTCTGTACTCGGAATCGATCCCACTGAGGTGCTTCAGCACAGAAACAACAATGGTACATTTTTAAGGGACATTGAATAGTACTTGATATTGCGAGGCAGGAAATAGCTGCTCTGAATTCAACACCTACTTCACCGCATGGTCAGGCTGCTAATGAGTGGCATGCACCACAATAAGCATTTGTTTTATTCTTATTTAAAAGGCTCTGAAACTCTATTTTTAACCGAATGCAGAGTAGTTCGATTTGGAAAAAAATATTTAGTAAAAACAAGAATCTAATGATGCAAAAACATACATGCTTTTTTGTCTACATATGGTCCTGCCACATATTATAAAATAATGTTCCATACCATTCCCTCAAAATGGATATTTAAGATGTTGGAACAGAATTAATCAATCATCTGCCTTATCATCTAAAACTCCCCGTTTACACAGAGATGAATCGTTAGAAAAGGCATTCGCAGCAAAAACATTATTTTCCCAAGGTTGTTTTTCCCATTTCCCATTTTTCTTGCAGCAAAAGTTCAAACCCAATCAAATCAAGCAAGAGGCAAGCTTCACCACTTTACCACATCCATCCTGTTTTGCTGCCGCTAGATGTGGTATTAATCACATTTGATGTAGGAGTTCCGCATGCAGCCCCACTCCACAGACTCCATTTGCCATTTAGCCCAACTCAACCCAACAAAGTCAGATTGTATAGAAGTCTATGAGAAAATGACTCTACTTCTCTCTTGATTTATTCCCTCAGTAAACATTGTAAACATGAGTTTATGGTCTCAATCTCTAGTTTCAAGTCTTCTTCAATACAGCATGATGTTCATTTAGTAAATTATGGTCCATTTAGAGTCAAATAGACCGTAAAGCAGGGTATGCTTTAGGGCGGGGCTACACGCTGATTGACAGGTCGCTGCTGCTACCAGAGACACATAGGGTGTCTCTACGTCTCTCCTCTGCATTCCAAATATGGTAACTTCCATTCATTGGCTGCAAAAAAACAATACGCCGACTGCCGTAATCCAAGATGGCGAAGGCGATATCGCCAAACTCGAGGCTTCGTGACAGCAGTCCACAAACCAATGAGTGATGTCACCATGACTACATCCACTTGTTATACAGTCTATGGTCCAATATTACAATAATGTCTACTAGGAGGGACAAGAAAAGGTTGTGCGTGTTCTTTTGTGAGTTTGAGGAAAACACCAGGTGCAATATTATATCACGAAAAGTGTGTGTGTGTACCACCAATATTAGAGAGCCGGAGAGAGGCAGAGAGATGGCTAGGTCCTGGCTGAGATCAGGCCTCAGCAGCATCCTCCAGAGACGACAGGAGGATTGAATGCTTTTCCTCTCTCTCACTCACCTTCTCCCTCATCCATGTTTCCCCCTCTCTCACCTCTATTTGTCTGCTCTATCCATCTTTTCCCCCGGGCCCTACCTCATTGGCTGTCTCATTTTCTCGCTTACTAATAGAAACCTGAAACCTTTGGGATTTTTAACCTGGCACAGGACAAACCACAGCTCTGTGGATGAAACAATTATAATCGTGATCGCCATTTGGTCCTCCATTTTACGTTTTATTTTAAGGCAAAATTAAAGTTATCAAATATTTTTGCATTAAATATTTTTGTGAGCACCCGCGTTTTTCCTCTTAAATGTACCTCAACATCACTTGCCATCATTCGGAATTATTTTATCTAGTGCTGGGCGGTATGACCAAAAATGTGTATCACAGTATTTTGTGAGATTATGGTGGTTTCACGGTATTTTTTTTTCTGCGTTAACGCATTAATTAATTAACGCTGAAAATTATTTTATCACGCGTTTAGTTATTAAGCAGACATTTTTAACACGATAGCCGGTCGGCCAACCAGCCAGCGAGCCGTGAACAGCTGTTTGTGTGGCGTGTCTTCCGTCACTTCCTGTTTCCTTCACCTACATTCCCCTGGGTCCTAAGTCCCTCCATGTACAGCTTCTTATCACCCTCTGTGTACCAACGTGAATTTATAACAAATACCACACATATTACGGTAATCAGCGTTGCGTATGTGTCAAACCAAAATACCCAAAAAAGCAAAAAAAAGATTCATTTAAATTATTTTTTTAGAGTTTTTAAAGTTTTGTTTGGAATATGTATAATAAGCATATCATTTAGTTATCGCTACTGAGAATTTAACAAACATAAAAACATGACGTAGATAGGTTTGCAGTTTTCAAGATGTAAATTTCAGATTGCATCTATTACACGCATGAAAATAAAGTTGTGAACACCGGCTGAATATCATTAGAATCATTATAACTGTATTATAACTGCTACTGTGTAAAGAGAATACTGCTGTTAAAAAGAACCGTATTTGTTTTAAAGTGTTTGCAAACTAAATGTTATTGCACTTTTGTTCATATAGCAGTACTTTTCAAATAAAAGTACACTACTTTTGAATTCATTGTTGAATTTTGTGCATAATGCGATTAATCGCAAAAAAATCATGCGATTAATCGCAATAAAAAATTGTAATCGTTGCCCAGCACTAGTATAAAGGCTGTGATTACTATAGAGTTTGCTTGGCCCCACAAAATGTTACAATATATGAATGAATCAGAATGCATTAAACAGTTGCAGAATGTAAACAATTTTTATTGTGCAAACGGCAACGTAGTTAAAACAGAACTTAAAAATAAATAGATATGCCAACAACTTAAACATGGCTTCCTTTTGAAAACAAAATATTTAAAAATAGTTGTATAAACACTATAAACTGACCTAAAATACTCAAAGTATTTAAGTATTCAAAGAGATATTTCTCAAACGTTTTATTGCACAAGTAAGAAACAAGCCTGGTATTAATTCACATTATCCTTCAAGCTACAGTATTCAAGTATTCAAAGGGCTATATTGCGCTTGCTTTTCTTTTCTTGGTACATATGCAGGAACCATTATGAACATTACCTGTACAAATTACCATTATGAACATTACCTGTACAAATGACCAAAAACAGGTTTTGGTAATTGAAGCTCCTCGAGACATTACAAATTTTGTGCCAGGAAAACCAGTCTGTCCACAGCATCTGGTTTCAGTGCGGACCTGTGGCAGGTGACAATGTTCCCACCGGTGCTGAAAGCTCTCTCAGATGGGGCACTGGTGGCAGGAATACACAGATACTTCCTGGCTAGCTTTGCTACACAAGGGAAATTTGCTTGGTGGCATTTCCACCACTCCAATGGGTCAGTGTCACTGTCGACCTCCACGGCCTACAGGTAGCTTCTCAGCTCCACTTTAATAGTCTCCTCGTCTGAGAGAGTTGCTCTGCTCTCAGCTGTGCTGCTGCCCTGCTTTTTGAAAAAGCTGGCCAAACTCTTTTTTCTTTTTACCTCAGGTTCAGCTGCTGCTGCTGCCACAGCCCTTGGGAGAGCTGATGAAGTGCCAGTGGTGTCTGCCTGTTGCTCTGTCAGCAGTGATTTGATCTCTTCTACTGCTCTAGCTTTGATTTCATCAACCTTTTCATTCTTGATGTAGGTAGTTTTGAAGCGGGGATCAAGAAGAGAAGCCATGTCTAGCAGGTCATCTGTGCCAGGATCTGAGTACTTTTCATTCAAGTAGGT